GCCGGGGTGGAGCCCTGCTGACTCCTAGCTGCCGGGGTGGAGCCCAGAACCCTGGTCCTGACTCTCTCTAAAGGCCTGCACACACCTGTGCAATCCGTCTCCTGGCCTATCCCAAAACCTGGTCCCAGGATTGGAGATTTCATCCCTCCCAGATCTCTTTGAAATCTCCAGGCTCCAGATCCCAAAACAGACCTTACAAACAAAGGAGGAAAGTGAAAAGCCGCTTTCCTCCGTATCAAACCTTTATCCTGGAGCCCCTCAACCTGCCTTGTTGAGAATCCAGGGTGACAGATCGCCACACTGTCACACCCTTCACACTGCCACCACTTCCTTTTTTGTACAGAGAAAGAGGAAACGCGGCAATATCAGCAATAACACTATGATGTTTGCATAAGCGTCGGTATACCACTGTCACCTCAGGCAGCGATATACCGAAGTTTAAAACGCACACACACACACTAGCGCTCTTCAGAGGCAGGGGTGCTTAGTTTGCATTTAGAAACAGTTCAACACTTCAAAAAAGTAAGAGTGCAATAAAAATATTTACAGAAAAGATGTAGCCTATATATATATATATATTATATATATATATATATATATATATATATATATATATATATATTTATATAAAAATATACAGAAAACAGCACAGCAAAGAGATAACAGAAAGAAGTTTAGAGGGATAAAGTACTTGCCGTCAGCCTTGGGTTAAGCAGATCAGGTTTCAGAGCCAAAAGGGTCTTATCTCCCAAAGTTAGTTCTGATGTTAAAAATGGAGATTCTTCAACTTTTCTCAGCTCAGCCCAGCTTACCTTCAAGCATCACAGCCTTCATCTAGGAACTCAGCAGGGTGTCTCCCTGAAGCAGAGAACCAATCGCCTCATTTGGGGAGGGGGTTGTGTAGGGGGGCAGCTCAGGCTATGACCAAAGCCTTCCCAAATTATACTATGGCCAATGACTTTTCCTAGGTACATATAACATTCTATCCACGAGTAAATTAATACCCAGAATCATCTGCTGAATGGTTAGATATGAAATATGACATTCCTGCTTGAATGGTTAACGAGATAATTTTCTGCTTTCCTGTATATGCCAGCTAGGGGTGTAATATATCAGGTGACTAATCTTAAAGTGAGCCATCCGAATATGTGCTCCATGTTTGTGTAATTATTTCCTATTTGGAGATATAAAATTATATGGTAAACTGGGTTTTAAAATGTAAGTCTGTTTTATGACTCCCTGGAATGTCTTTTAAAGCTCAGTGAGGGCCTTACAACCCCTTCTCCAGCAAGAGTCTCGCAGACAGAGGGGCACCAGCTAGTTGTGGGATTTATAACCATGACGCCCTCCCAATGAGTTTGCTGCCTGTGATCTGCATCAAACAGACCACATGTCACTCAACAGAGAGGGAGAGGGGATGAGGAAAGCTGATTGGGAGTAGAAATGATACAAAATGGAAGATTCTTAACAAGATGGATGACTGCGTCCATCTCCGTGTGCACGATTGCTACAATCAGATTTGTCACACAACTTCACTTTCATGAATCCATGCTGACTTTTGCTTAAAATGAGTTTTTGCTAGGAAGAAAAAAACATCTATGTGGTCTTTTATTAAATTCTGCAGTATCTTCCTGACTATAGAAGTTAAACAGGTCTGTAATTACTTTGTAAATATTTTTACCCCTTTTTAAATATAGGCCTTACACCAGGGGTGGGCAGCTGTGGCCCTCCAGCTGTTGGTGAACTACAAGTCCCATCATGCCTCTGCCTTCGGGAGTCATGCTTGTAACTGTCAGTTTTGCAATGCCTCATGGGACTTGTAGTTCTACAACAGTTGGAGGGCCACAGTTGCCCACACCTGCCTTATACCAATCCACTGGTACTATGCCAGTCATTAAAAAGTCCTTAAAAATTACAAACAATGTCTTTGAAATGACAGAGCTCCATTTTTTAGGAAATGTGGGTGTAAGCCAGCTGGTCCACATGCCTAATTCACCTTTATTCTGTCTAAATATTTCTGGATCATATTAATTTTGAGCCATTGTTGATAACTTGGGCCTTGTCAATATCATCTCCATTATGGACATGAGCTCCCCATGCTCCTTTATATACACAGAGCTGAAGAGGGTATGCAATAAATTTGCCTTCTCTTTTTCTCCAGTCACCCACTCCAGATTATTTTACAAAGGACCTATATGCTCCAGCCTGACCAGTTTACTATTATATATCTGAAGAATTTATTTGGATTTGTCTCTCTTTTGCAATCAATCGTTTGTTTTGCATTTTTTCGGACTTGATTTCTTTACCTATTCTTTTATATTCCTTGTAACAAATGATAGGGTTTCTTAATTTTTATATTTTTTTAAAAGCACTTCTCTTGAGGTGATCCTGGTGACAAAATTGTTCCATCAGTCCTTCTGATTATAGAATCCCCTAATACCACCAACTGTGTAGGCCTATCTGTACTACCATCACCACCCTTACTATATGGGCTGCTCTTCCAGCTCTTAGGGATAGCAATGACAACCAGGGCTGCCACCTCTGAGTTTGCCATCTTCACCTAACTTGGCAAATCTGTTTGGGTGCTGAAACCCAGGGCTGGCCTTACTTTTGTTAGCTTGTACCACTCTGACTACAGTAACCCATCTTCCTACTTGATAATCCTGACTTACCCTTCCACCCCCTACATCAACCCCAACTGATACAACTTATAAAAGTCCAGTAAAGAGACCAATTTTTCTTTGGCCGCATGTGTTCACTAAGTGTTAACATATTTTTACAAAAAAAACCCCACAATTTTTATGTAAATTTCTGATTTTGTGTTGGGATGCATTCATAGCGGTCTTGGACCGCAGGTTGGACACCCCTGGTTTAACTGATTGTGGGGAGTAAATTGAATCTAAGCCTTTCCTTCCACTTTAACTCTAAGGCAACTATAATAACAACCGCATACATGGAATCCTTTTATGTCAAAACAACATCATCAGCCTCTGGACTGGAGGATCTAATACATTTCTGACTAACCTGTCTCTTAGGGTGGAGGCTGTTTTATACACAAACTTCTGTTTTTCTGGAATAATAGATCTTTACTGTATATCGGTGTTTCTTTATTATGCCTTCAATGTTTTTATACTGAGCATTATAACGTAACGCTACTGTCAAAATCCTTCACATCAACAGCCCTATTTCTATCCTTAAAGTACAAGTTCAACTGTTACAAAAAAATAAATAAATTAAAATCTTTTTGCAGGTAAAAAAAAGTGTATTTATTATTATCTTTTTTTACTAGGTCTCTTTCAAACTGTCAGTATAAGCTGTCTGCTCATATCTCATATGAGCAGGTAGTTACACACTGACAGAAAGCATCAATGAAATACCTAGAGCGCCCAACAGCGCACTGATAGTTCATTGAGAAAAACAAACCGACAGCTGCAAAGCCTGTCAGTACTTGTAGTACATTCATTCTTAGAACTCCTTTCAAATAGTGACAGTAGGTACATGGAGGAGTGTGGGGGGATCGGGGAATGGCTGCAGGAGCGGGAACATGTAACATGCTTCCCCTAAAGATGGGTAGAACTTATAACATATTCCCAGGGGTGAGCTTGTCTTTGAATCAAATCTTGCCTTCTATTCCTCATACTTTTGCTATTTCCTGCTCAAGAAAATCTGCATCATACCTCTTTTTTGGTAAATATGTTGCTCAATTGTTCTTCCTGTTGATCAAAAATCCCTTACTTTGTGCAATTTCTCTTAGTGAGCATAAGTCAGGGGTTAAAATTTCAAGTCCAAACCTACTAGCCAGGCACAAACCTTACTCTCCACCAGTTGCCCCACCCAACCTTGCCCAGGTCTGCCCCCAACCCCAACCCAACCCCTTAAAGCTTATGAAATTACATTTTTCTTTAGAATAAAGAGTCCACAATATAAAAAACTGCAAATATTACATAGCTTTATTGTGTCAATTTAAAACATAACAGCAATAGCTTAATAGCAATAGGGTGCAATCAAAATATCAAGTTTTACAGCTTTAAACCTGTAGTGAACATTTTGCATTTTTTTGGGTTTATCTCCTGCATCTTTAAAAAGAGATTTTAGGAACTAAAGTCGCTTTTAAAAGATGTAAGTTTAGTTTACAGAAGTATAGCATTAGAAAAAGTGCTTATTTTGATGCCAAACAACATGGAATAATAGTTACTGTAAACATGTATTTTTTATCTCCAGCAGAGACCTTAGAGTGTGGCATTAAGAAAAAAAGAAAAAAAGTGCCTCTTGATGGCCAAAAAACATTGCATAAAACAATAGTAAACATTTTGCATTTTTTATCTCCAGCATCTTATTAAGAGAGAGCTTAGAGAAGTAGTGCATTAAGGAAAAAAAAAAAAGTGCTTATTTAGATGCCAAAAACATGGCATAACATTTCAACATAGAGCAGCCATGATCTGTGTTGTACAGCAGGACCAAGACTTGTGTAATACCCTTTTTCTGATGCAAAATACCCGTCAATGGCTGTGTGTGGATTGCAATCTATTCCATGAAGAAAGAAAAAAAGAACACCAAAAAAATCATTTTTTCGATGACAAAAAGCAGTAGTAAACCAGGTTCACTTCAAGATTTGCTATGATTTTCTTTTTAAAGCAGGACCAAGACTTGTGTAACGTCCCTCTGGATATCCTATAGAGCAGGGTTTAAAATTTTGAGTATAGTAAGCCAGACACAAACCTTACTCTCCACCAGTTGCCCCACCCAACCTTACCCAGGTCTGCCTCCAACCCCACCCCCGACCCATCCCCCAACCCCACCTCAGCCCTGCTTACAACCACGCCCCCTTAAAGCTTATGAAATGACATTTTTCTTTAGAACAAAGAGTCTAAAATATAAAAAACTGCAATTATAACATAGCTTTATTTTGTCAATTTAACCACCTCCCGCCCGCCATATAGTCCAATGACAGGCGCAAGGTGGTTCTCTCGTTCTGAGAAGCCGTCTTTTGATGTCCTTCCATTTTCATCGTGCATGTGCGGTTCAGGGAGCGCGCAGCATGGCGATCGGCGGTGCTCTGTGTCCCTTGGACACAGCGGATCACCGATCCACGGAAAGAGCCGAAGATGTCGGCTCGGTCATGTGATCAGCTGTGTCCAATCACAGCTGATCACATGTAAACACGGAAATGCCAGTTATCGGCATTTCTCTCCTCTCGAGCTGTCACGCTAACAGCTCGAGAGGAGAGGAGAGCCGGTAATCGGCATTCTGCGGAGGGGACATGTACACTGATCATCAGGGCACTGATGATCAGTGTGCCCTGATGATCAGTGTGGCCCCAGAAGTGCCACCTGTCAGTGTCCATCAGTGCCAGCTGTCAGTGCTGAACAGTGCCACGTGCCAGTGCCCATCAGTGCCACATATCAGTGCCCATCTGAGCTGCCCTTCAGTGTCACCCATCAGTGCCACCTATCAATGCCAATCACTGCCACCTATCAGTAGTGCCAGTCAGTGCCATCAGTGCCAGTCAGTGCCATCTATCAGTGCCCATCAGTGATGCCTGTCAATGCCCATCAGTGGCTCCTCATCAGTGCCCATCACTACATCCTCATTCGCGCACATCAGTGAAGGAGAAAAATCACTTATTTACAAAATTTTATAACAAAAACTGAGAAAAAAAAATTTTTCAAAATTTTTTGTGGTTTTTGGTTTGTTTAAGAAAAAATAAAAAACTCAGAGGTGATTAAATACCATCAAAAGAAAGCTCTGTCACAAAAAAATGATAAAAATTTCATTTGGGTACAGTGTTGCATGACTGCGCAATTGTCATTCAAAGTGTGACAGCGCTGAGAGATGGAAATTGGCCTGGGCAGGAAGGGGGTATAAGTGCCCTGTAGGCAAGCGGTTGAACATAACAGCAATAGCTTAATAGCAATAGGGTGCAATCAAAATATCAAGTTTTACAGCTTTAAACCTGTAGTAAACATTTTGTATATCTCCTGCATCTTTAAAAAGAGACTTTGGTAACTAAAGTCTCTTTTAAAAGATGGAAGTTTAGTTTACAGAAGTATAGCATAAGAAAAAGTGCTTATTTTGATGCCAAAAAAACATAGAATAATAGTTACTGTAAACATGTATTTTTTATCTCCAGCAGAGACCTTAAAGAAGTGTGGCATTAACCACTTCCCGACCGGCCGTTTATAAACGTATATAAACGGCCGGACGTGGCAGTACAGGGTCAGGTGGCCGTTTATGAACGGCCTCCCCGCACCCTGCTTGTGCGCGCTCCCTGGGAGCGCGCAGCACCGCGATCCGGTGCCCGCTGTGTCCTCCGGACACAGTGAAACACCGATCGTCGGACGGGACCTCTGTACGAGGTCCCGATCATGTGATCACTGATTGGCCAATCAGTGATCACATGCAAAGTAGTAAGCAAGATGTCACTTGTGACATCATTGCTTACTATGTGTGAAATCTGTGAATGATCACAGAGGTCACATGGTACAAGGCTATTCACAACAGCCTTGTATTATGTGACAAGCTGTGACCAATCACAGCTCACTCAGTATTTCTCAATGAGTGCAGGAATGCACACAGAGAGAAAGAGAAATGATTGCTTTTACATCCTATATGGGTATAAAAGCAATCAGTAAAAAAAAAAAAAAAAAAAATCTTCATCATCCCCCACAAGTAGTACAGTGTCACCATGGTGACACTGTACTGCTAGGGTGACAGTATGTAAAAAATAAATAAATAAAAAATAATAATATAAAAAAAAAAAATAAAAATGTATAAAAAAATGTTTAAAAATTATAATTTTTGGTTATAAAAACTAATTTGTTTTTTTTTTGTTTTTTTGCTAAAAAGATAACGGAATACATTTTGGCAAAGATGTATGATGAAATATTATTTATTTGCAAAATTTTATAAAAAAAAAACACTTTTGTTCAAAATATTTGGACTTTTTCATTACATAGCAAAAAAAAATAAAAATCCCAGTGGTGAATAAATACCACCAAAAATAAAGCTTTATCTTTTATTTTTTTATTTTTTTTTTTTACTAAAAAGATAACGGAATACATTTTGGCCAAGATTTATGATGAAATATTATTTATTTCCAACATTTTTGGACATTTTCATTTACATAGCAAAAAAAATTTAAATCCCAGCGGTGAATAAATACCACCAAAATAAAGTTTTATCTGTCTCAAAAAAATGGTACAAAATTCATATGCATGACCGCGCAATTGTCATTCAAAGTGTGATAGCGCTGAAAGCTGAACATTGCCCTGGTCAGGAAGGGGGTAAAAGTGTCCAGACTGGAAGTGGTTAATAAATCAGGGAAATCTAGAAATGGCTTTTCACATTAGTTACATAATAAGCAAAGTTAAACGTGTGTGTCATGTGCTTAAACATTTCTGCGTCCATTTTTCTGATACATATAGCTAAAGGTCTTTCTTCAGGGTTGTCTCTAGCCTTTGCCTTATCAATATTCTCTGTCACGGTCTGGGTCAGGTTCAGAGACCAGTTGCTATAGCAGTGTTAAGGCTTACCTGAAGCTAGCAGGATAGGTACACAGGCAGGTCACCCTGGGAAAGGACGCAGGCTCACCTGAGGTGTGGGGTCTAAGCACCAACCGGCTTTCACCAGAGCTCCTAATGGTGGAGATGGATTTGGCTGCTTGTTGATACCAGGTCGCAGATCTCAGGATCACCTCACCAGGGAATAAGCAAGCCGGAAACCAGTAGCAGATCGAACAAGTAAAGGATCAAGCAGAAGTGGAGTCAGTCAACAAGCCAAGGGTCGGTCACAAACGTTAGTAGATGAGGATGAGGCAGAATCGTAGTCCAGGAACAAGCCAAAGGTCGGTAACGAAAGTATAGCCGGCAGCAGGAGCGGCAAGTGGGATATTGGCTGGTGAAGGCACAATAATCTGGCAAAGAGGAAATGCAGAGGCATGGCTTTTATCAGAAAGTTCATGGGAGGAGTGTCAAGGTCCTACCTTTCCTCAGGGCTTGTGCTGCTCCATGTGCTGGCATCCATCTTAGGTGTCTGCAAAGCATTGTGGGATCCTTTATGCTTTCAGCCCCCTGCGGCTCCTCCCCAGGAGCTGGCAGCTTATCACATATAAGTCTGCTGTTTGTAGCTGTCCATTGCATTCGTGTCCTGTCTGTTGCACAGCAGCAAGCTCCTGTTTAGTTTCTTATTGCTCTCCTGGATACCGACTCAGCTTTGGCAAGACTCCTTCCTTGCTTCTGACCCCGGCTATGGCGACCATCCTTCCTGGCTTCTGACCCCGGCTCTGGCAACCATCCTTCCTGGCTTCTGACCCCGGCTCTGGCGACCATCCTTCCTGGCTACTGTTCTACCAAGTCATCCGCTGTTGCTGTTGGACTTGCATAGACTCTGTCTTATTTTTGTATATAATAAACCTACCTTTAATTGCACCTCCTTGTGTGTCTGGCTCCTCGCTCCCTGACACTACACGAATGCCATGAATCCTGACGGTGCAGGTACGCCCTCGCTCCCAATGTTGGTTGCCAGACTTGATCAGCAGGATCTCTTGTTGGATCAGTTTGCTCAGGCATTGCAAACGCTGCTTGCACTCACAGCGCACCTTACTCCTGGTGCTATTAGGCCGGTTGTCACTCCTGTGGTCACTCCCGCTGTTGCTCCGGTTGTTGCGCCTACTTCCGCATCTGCTGCCGCACCTGCGGTGCCCAGAGGTATGACTGGTTCAGCCCCCCTTCCACAGCGCTTTGGGGGTGAGCCGAGTCAGTGTCAGGGTTTCCTTAACCAAGTGGGCATATATTTTGAATTGATACCCCATGCTTTTCCTACGGAGAGGTCAAAGGTGGGCTTCCTAATCTCGCTGCTCTCGGACAAGGCATTGGCCTGGGCAAATCCCTTATGATTCACGAGTTTGCCGGTTTTGTTGCCTCCTTCCGTATGGTATTTGATGTGCCTGCTCGCTCCGCCTCTGCTGCTAAGCTGCTCATGTCCATGCATCAGGGTTCACGTACGCCATAGAATTTCGTACCCTGGCGGCAGAGGTGGGTTGGAACAATGGGGCTCTGGTGGCTGCTTTCTCTCATGGTCTGTCAGATGCGTTGAAGGACGAGATTGCAGCCACAGAACTGCCTGTGGAGCTCGAAGCGCTCATTTCCTTCCTAATCCTGATTGACAGCAGGCTCGGAGAGGCCTTCCCTTAAGGAGCATCTGCAGAGGCCTCCTAACCGATTGGCGCCTACGTTTTCTGTCCCACCCGTTCCTCCCTCTCCTCCGACGCCTCCTGGGGGATGGCTTGTCTGGCGGTGAGCCCATGCAGCTGGGGTTTGCTTGCCTTTCCGAGGGAGGGTCTCGGCGTCGGGAGGGTTGCTGCCTGTACTGTGGTCTCGGTGGGCATTTTCGGCAGTCCTGTCCAGTCTGTCCAGGAAACGCTCATACCTGAGATCCTGTCGGGGGCAGATCTTGGGTGGTGTTTCCTCGTCCCCGGTTTCCCGCAAAGATAAACCGCTAATCACTGTTGTCCTCTCTTGGGCGGAAGGCTCGGTGACGGCCCAGGCATTGGTAGACTCTGGTGCTGGCGGGTTGTTTATGGACAGTTCGTTTGCTGCCCAGTACTCCATTCCTCTGCAGGCTTGAGTTACTCCATTGGTCCTCAAGGCGATAGATGGCAGGCCCCTGCAACCGCCGCAGGTTACCCACGAGACCCTGCCGGTTGAAGTAGCTATTAGCGCTCTTCACAGGGAGTTGGCCTGTTTCCAGGTAATTTCTTCCCCGCACTACTCCGTGGTTTTGGGATATCCCTGGCTTTAGAAGCACAATCCGACCTTTGATTGGCGGTCGGCCGAGATTCTCTCGTGGTCTCCACAGTGTGGGGCCGGTTGCATCCGTGGACCTGTTAAGGTGTTGTGTGCCTCCTCGGACTCTGTGTTGCCTATTGACTATGGGGAGTACCTGGACGTGTTTGACAAGCTGCGTGCCGGTGCTCTGCCTCCTCATCGCCCATACGATTGTGCCATAACCTTACAACCCGGTGCCACTCCTCCGCGTGGCAGGGTGTATCCTCTTTCGGTTGTGTAGAATCAGGCCATGGAGGAGTACGTTGCGGAAGAGCTTTCCCGGGGGCACATTCGCAAGTCTACTTCTCCAGCAGGAGCTGGCTTTTTCTTCGTGAAAAAGAAGGGCGGTGAATTGAGGCCTTGCATTGATTTTAGGGTCTCAATCGAATCACGATTAAGAATGCTTACCCAATTCAGTTGATTACCGAGTTGTTTGACCGCCTCAAGGGAGCAACGGTCTTTACTAAACTCGACCTTAGGGCTGCGTACAACCTCATACAGATCAAGGAGGGCGACGAGTGGAAGACCGCGTTCAACACCAGAACCGGCCATTATGATTTCCTGGTTATGCCCCTCGGGTTGTGTAACGCGCCTGTGGTCTTTCAGGAGTTCATTAATGATGTCTTTTGTGACTTGTGTTGCAGCAGTGCATGGTGATTTACTTGGACGACATCCTGGTTTACTCTGCGTGTATGGAGTCTCATATCCAGGA